TAATGCTGAACTCAGTTATATCCCAGCTATATGATTATGGTACAACACCTGGACCAGTAAAATCAGTCTTTTCGCACATGGTCAGTAGTGGACAGACCATCCACAAAACACAGGTAGGTAGGTAGGTTGGTTGGTTGGTTGTTTAATGCTGCACTCAGCAATGTTACAGCTATATGGCGGTGGTTTGTAAATAATTGAGTGAGACAATCCAGTGATCAACAGCATGAGCATCGATACAATGACATGTAACCAAGTCAGCGAGCCTGAACACCCGATCTTGTTAGTTACCTCTTACGACAAGCATGGGTTACTGAAAATGAATTGTAACCCGGATCGTCATGGGTAACCCACACAGGTGCCCATATAACACAATACATGGTTGTTGTTTGAAATCACAGACCCCATTTTGTCCGATTGTGGATCATTCCCATTACTATCACATCCTACCTGGTACCCATTAACTGATGAGTCGACATAAAGAATTGATATGGTTTAAATTTGAATATTTTATCCTAACTCTTTGAGATGAGATCGAAACTCTGAACTAGAGAGCAGCAGGTGCACAAACATTTCCCACTTAAGAGCCACACTAAAATACGTGTAGACAGTTTAAAGTCTGCTCCTTCCTGACAAAGGCACATCATCTGATGGCTTCAATTCCGGTCACCATGGTATCATCTGTGCCTGTCAGTCAATGAGGCCAGCCCTACATTATACATTCTTCAAAAGGATGCTTAATGGAACATTTACTTGGAGTCAGTGAAGAAACCATAACAGTCTTCTGGTAAAAACTGTGTTGGCCATGAGTCCCGTTGTACAACCATACTATATAGTTATATAATAAAGCTTTTATCCATATAAAGTATAGTGAAAATGATGAAGCTGAAATCATTGGTCAAACCCAGCTTAAGTATTTTGACACGTAGGTCGACCTCCTCTCTTGGAGGTCCATGAGACTGCATAGTTCCCCCCTCACCAGCCACAGGCCAGTCCAAGTTTATTGGCACATTATAACCAAACCACATAAAACGGTGTCCATCATCTTCTTGGAATTAGTATCGACTACTGCGGCCTGATTGGGACCACGGATGACCAGTGCTGGTCGTGTGTAAAGGATGGAGGAAATGGCAGTTGTCCAAAACACTCCCAGCAAGCCTTAAGGCCAGTGTTTAACAGGATGAAATTATTCCAGCTATCTTGGCCTGGGGCTTGTTATTATGGTAAATCTAAGTGGCAAATCTTTGCTGCTCCATCTCAGCACGACTTGTCCGGTCGTCAGTTATTGAATCTGTTCATAAAATGATATGCAGGGAATCACTAACATGTTTTCCCCGGGCTATGATGAAGTTAGCTGGATACTTTAGGGAGAGGTCGTCCAGTGCTCTACCATGTTTACCCAACATGCAATATGAAAGGCCTTTCTAATCAGTACACATTTTGGGATGGAAAATTGAATTATGATCTCGAGGAAAACATGATCAGCGATCCATCACAAATGTCAAGGCCTTGAGTATCAGATTCATTTCTCACAAGAAAATGGAGAAACGAGTCCAGCGCTAGTGATAGAGTAACTGTATGCAGGCAATGTCAGTGTTAATTTATACTCTTGCAAATCAACATTCACGTTGGTTGGTTGGTTGGTTGGTTTAACACTGCACTCAGCAGTATCACAGCCATAAGATGGTGGTCTGTAAATAATGGAATCTGGACAAGACAAACAGTGATCAACAGCATGAGCATCAATATTGGGATATGATGACATGTGTCAACCAAGTCAGCGAGCCTCACCACCCGCTCCCGTTAGTTGCCTCTTCTAATGACAAGCATGGGTTGCTGAAGATCAATTCCTACCCGGACCTTCACGGGTTTCTTCTAGTGGCATGTTGTAAGCCATACTGACACAGCTGACATAACGTCTGGAGTGAAGACATGTTATATTCCAGACAAAGTCTATGCAGTAACTTTCATCTTAAAGGGGAATACACTCAAGCAAACCTGCAGTCGTGGCAAATATATATATAATTATACAATCAGAAATTTGTCTGCAAACTGTTAAACGTTGCTCAGACTAGCAATATGTGCTAGCAGTAGTCCACTTTTGGAAATGTATAGATATTTTATCTAACCATGATACACAAAACCTAGTCTAATAAAATGTCAAAATGTAGAATGACACTGATATTTGTAAGTGCCAACTAGTAATCGGGAACAGGGGGTATTCCAGGTTTCAACTTAGCACCCTGAGCGGGTGAGGGGCTGTGGGGTTGCCTAGCGGTTAAAGCGTTGGCTCATCACGCCGAAGATCCGGGTTCGATTTCCTACATGGGTACAATGTGTGAAGCCCATTTCTGGTGTCCCCCGTCATAATATTGCTGGAATATTGCTATAAGCAGCGTAAAACTAAACTCACTCACTTACTGAGCAGGTGACATAGTGGTGATCAGTGGTCAGTTTTAGAGACTTGGTTAATGTCAAGGTCACTGCTCCTAATGTCAATCACATGATCGTTTAGATCAGACTCCATTATTGACTGGCCTCCATCACACAGCTATGTTAGCTTGGTTGACACATGTCATCGGTTCCCAATTGCGCAGATCGATGCTCATGCTGTTGATCACTGGATTGTCTGGTCCAGACTCGATTATTTACAGACCATCGCCATATAGCTGGAATATTGCTGAGTGAGGCATAAAACTAAACTCACTCACTCACACAGCTATGTGTAAGACATTGTCTACATTTCCCACACAGTGCAAATCGATGTCTAGATCAAGAGACTCCAGTCGGTATCCACTAATTTCATTCTAATGATGGAATATGACAGTAACAGCACCACACAGACAGCTAAGACAACAACAACCAGGTCGTCTGTCTCTGATGCAGGTATGACGTGCTATGGATGTATTTTCGTATCACTTACAAATGTCAAACATTCAAATGTCAGGAGACAGCAGTCTTTGTAACACTGCCTTTATGATTCCTTAGGTCAGACTACAAGAGTCGACTCTCCTGTAACATCCCTGACCAAGGTCAAATACTCCATGTCCTTCCATTGCCGTTATAATTATGTCAACTAGGAATGGTCCAAAGTCTCTCATGCAATTGAGTTTGAGTTTCAAGTGGTTGAGGATTGAGAGAATTAAAAAATCTGAGTAAACTATTTTGTAAACAGGCACAATATAATATTTTAAAAGTCTTACAGCAAAACAGTTTGGGTGTTATCCACATATATCTGCAGGGCTCGACATTCACGCTATCCCACTGGCCCGGGTCTAGTAAAATGTTGACAGGACCAGTGCAACTTTGATAACTGGTGCTTGCCATTGTTAGCGAAGGGGCTCTAGGTTGTCTGCGATCAAGTGTAGTGCTATGCACGTAATCAATTTCATCGTCATACAATGCACGTGTTCTAGACTACATCTTCTCTACCTTTCACAAACCAAATTGGTTTGCTCATTGCCGTGCACCGCCTACTTCTCTGCGCCGGTCCAACTTATCCTTGTTTGCCAGCAATGTAATCAATTTGTATAGCACATATGCTAATAGATTCAACACACTTAGACCATGCTACCAGGTACCCATTCACTGATGGGTCAGGGGAGGCATATTTCAAACAAGTCCCTTGACTAAGGAAACACCTAATACCCTACTTGGCACACCTAAGCTTAAAAATATCACAGGACTGAAGCTGCCAAAAGTGGTCACGCATCCGACTATACTCAGCAGCAAACGTTGCTTAACTTCACCGAATTTCTGACCTGTGAACTGTATACTGTATATTTCCTCTCCAACTTGGGTAAAAAGTTACAAAGAGCATTCAGACTTCATAGATCAGTCGTAATCAGAACTGTCCTGTCTGCTGCTAATCTGGACTGTCCTGTCTGCTGCTAATCAGAACTGTCTGCTGCTAATCTGTCCTGTCTGCTGCTAATCTGTCCTGTCTGCTGCTAATCAGAACTGTTCTGTCTGCTGCTAATCTGTCCTGTCTGCTGCTAATCAGAACTGTTCTGTCTGCTGCTAATCTGGACTGTCCTGTCTGCTGCTAATCTGGACAGTCCTGTCTGCTGCTAATCTGTCCTGTCTGCTGCTAATCAGAACTGTTCTGTCTGCTGCTAATCTGGACTGTCCTGTCTGCTGCTAATCTGGACTGTCCTGTCTGCTGCTAATCTGGACTGTCCTGTCTGCTGCTAATCTGGACAGTCCTGTCTGCTGCTAATCTGGACAGTCCTGTCTGCTGCTAATCTGGACTGTACTGTCTGCTGCTAATCTGGACTGTCCTGTCTGCTGCTAATCTGGACTGTCCTGTCTGCTGCTAATCTGGACTGTCCTGTCTGCTGCTAATCTGGACAGTCCTGTCTGCTGCTAATCTGGACTGTCCTGTCTGCTGCTAATCTGGACAGTCCTGTCTGCTGCTAATCTGGACAGTCCTGTCTGCTGCTAATCTGGACTGTCCTGTCTGCTGCTAATCAGAACTGTTCTGTCTGCTGCTAATCTGGACTGTCCTGTCTGCTGCTAATCTGGACTGTCCTGTCTGCTGCTAATCTGGACTGTCCTGTCTGCTGCTAATCTGGACTGTCCTGTCTGCTGCTAATCTGGACTGTCCTGTCTGCTGCTAATCTGGACTGTCCTGTCTGCTGCTAATCTGGACTGTCCTGTCTGCTGCTAATCTGGACAGTCCTGTCTGCTGCTAATCTGGACTGTCCTGTCTGCTGCTAATCTGGACTGTCCTGTCTGCTGCTTGTCTGCTGCTAATCTGGACTGTCCTGTCTGCTGCTAATCTGGACAGTCCTGTCTGCTGCTAATCTGGACAGTCCTGTCTGCTGCTAATCTGGACAGTCCTGTCTGCTGCTAATCTGGACTGTCCTGTCTGCTGCTAATCTGGACTGTCCTGTCTGCTGCTAATCTGGACAGTCCTGTCTGCTGCTAATCTGTTATAATAGTCTAAACTACTCAGACACCTCTCTGTCCTGCCGCTCTACATCAAAGACAACTGCACTTACCACTTTGAGTAAGGTCGGGTTCTCCGTGACAGTTCCAACAAGACCACAGAAAGCATTGATGGCAATGAGAAGCCCAACCACGATCAGGAGAGCTACAGGAAGTGCAAGTCGGTTGTTTACTGACTGGATGTCCTGTCGATGAACTTCAACGATAATCCCGATACCCAACAAGATGATCCCAACACACTGAAACAAAGACAAGACAGGTTAGACTGGGTGATGTTAGAGTCGATGAACCTCCCCGATAACCCCGATACCCAACAAGATGATTCCCACACACTGAAACAAAGACAAGACAGGTTAGACTGGGTGATGTTAGAGTCGATGAACCTCCCCGATAATCAACAAGATGATCCCAACACACTGAAACAAAGACAAGACAGGTTAGACTGGGTGATGTTAGAGTCGATGAACCTCCCCGATAACCCCGATACCCAACAAGATGATTCCCACACACTGAAACAAAGACAAGACAGGTTAGACTGGGTGATGTTAGAGTCGATGAACCTCCCCGATAACCCCGATACCCAACAAGATGATTCCAACACACTGAAACAAAGACAAGACAGGTTAGACTGGGTGATGTTAGAGTCGATGAACCTCCCCGATAACCCCGATACCCAACAAGATGATTCCCACACACTGAAACAAAGACAAGACAGGTTAGACTGGGTGATGTTAGAGTCGATGAACCTCCCCGATAACCCCGATACCCAACAAGATGATTCCAACACACTGAAACAAAGACAAGACAGGTTAGACTGGGTGATGTTAGAGTCGATGAACCTCCCCGATAATCCTGTCAGCCATTTAGGTATTTCCCACTGAAAGAAAGATAAGAGTGGATAGAGGGACACGTCTACTGGCTATGCAGATCTGGTTGACAATGAAACATCTATCTAACTGTATATTTAGAGTAAAACAAGCAAATGTTTTGATTTAAAGTCATCAGTCTTCAAACCAGAAGAATCTAAATGGCATATCAAGAGTGCTGCTTGTGTTCTTTGTCATTCTGTGGGACTGAGGAGATAACAAGAAGGTGTGCTACTTTATGAATGACAACTCCGATATAATATTATGATGTGATGTTTTGGTATACTATATAATAGATTCTTACTCTTGCTTGACAATGTTATAAGAATCTTTACCAAAACGTCACATCATAATATAATTGTCATCTATCAAGTATCACACTTCTAAAATGTCAATCAAACAAATCGCTGAGGAGATAATTTGTGCCTAATAACAAAATAAGTGAATGATTGAAGCTCTTTTGTTAAGAAATAAACATATATCACTGTTAACATTTATAATTTTCCGGTGTAGAGCAAACAAACATCAATCAGGAACAAATCTTGGATTTGAAGCAATGACAAACAGCTACTGATACAGCCAAGGGATACAACTCTGCATGGTGACTTTTGGTGACTGACAACAAAGCCATTTGGAACTCTTCAGATGAATAAGGTTTACTTTGAAGTTATTTTCATCTGAAAATCATTGATTGAGCATGTTTTGTATTGAGTAATCTGATCTATTTTCACCAACATTCTATCAAATACACCTTTTATAGTCATAAGAATATGAATATGATAAAACTGGGAACTTTCTGAAATAAGACCTATGTACATATAATAATATAAATAATTTCTCGGATTGAAAGCATGTGAATTGCAAATTAGGTATTCAACTGCTTCTTTTATCAAGATTTAACTGAGGAAAACATAATCGGCATTCACATTTCAACTAAGAATCATTATCAAGGAGTAGCCAGTTCTTCTGTGTCAGAATCAATTCCTTCAAGCTCAGAAAGTCAAAGTCAATTTAAATTCACACCTCATTTGCATCAAAAGTGTAGGTATATTTAGCAAACGGAGATCACACCTTGAGACCCACACTTCCATCCCACAAGAAATAAATGTCAGTGTTCAATTATTAATGGCAAACTTCCCATTACTTGGAAATGTCACCAGGATACCATTTGTTCCGGATGTGGGAGTTTTAAGATATGGGATGGTTAAACTCCACAATTCAAGTAAAACGAATGTAACCAGAAGAGGATGATTGCTGCACCAACTAGCTTGATCATGCATTCATACTTAGTATCATTCATACATAGTATCATGCATTCATACATAGCATGTTATTCCATTGATACCATACAAGAATCTTGACCTGACACGTTGCATCCAGGTGAAGGATGGACTCGGCCCTCTTGTGTGTGGGAGTGAGGCATACACTGGCTTTGAGGCTATTTCACCCTCGCTACCACCATCATTGCTGCATGTATCTAGAGTGTATACTAGGCAAGACCGTTGACTATATCAGAAGCATTTATGTGGGTGATCGGAAAGAAAGTCACATGAAAAAGAGTCACGGATAAAAAGTCACAATTTTGGCTAGGACAAAAAGTCACAATAACTGTTTATTATCTGTTTAATATGTTTAATTATCAATCAAAGAAGAGTACACATAGTCTTACTAAATTTCAAACACTCTGCAAGTTTCATGAACACTGCGCAAAGTTCTGCAATCTCTTAGTAATTGTTTTAAGAAATTAAAGCCTGTTTTGGACAGATTTATCTATCTGACTAAAACCCAAAGATGTGCTTCTTGCAATCAGAATCCAAATGTTCGGGTTCTTTCAGTTAATTCAATGATTACACATATACTTCAAATAATTTTTTGAAAATGTTCTTTGAACACAAATACGAAATTGTTGAAGTGCAGCGTTTAGATATTAGGGACCAGCTTTTTTAATCATGCTGCCAATTTCTGCAGTGCAGTTCGATTTACAAAGCTTCAAAACAGTATTTGATCTACGAAAAAAGTGTCCTTCTGCAAAGTGGATATAGTTTGGCATCAAGACACTTCTGCAAAATATTTTGCAACTGTTGACACGACAAATGCAGCAGAAAAATGGGTGTTACAGCACTGCAGTATAACAATATTCTAAAAAGTAATCGGTTTACAAATCCCAATCGACTGGACCCAAGAGAGTCAATAGATGCTGGTTACACAAAGAAACTATCAATACACATCAGCTATTACCTATGCAAACAGAACTTCAGAACATCTAGGGCACGTTTTTCATGCAAAGGCCCAGTATTACAATTATTACAGATGGGTTAGGAAGCAGTTTTACTGCACCATCTTAGGCCATCTTCGATCATCTTAAATAAACTCTGTTTCCCATTTTATATTGATTAAGCGAACAATGTATACTAAACTCGTAATGGTTTCACACATCGACATTCAATCCACTAAACCTGAAATAACAGGCACTGTAAACTACAAAGGTTTCCTCTCACAATACAGTATATGGGTTAAACAGAGATATTCCCAAATTTGCAGCAATCAAGCAATCAGCTGAATGTGCCACATTGTACAGGAAATGCCAGGCTGGTTATCATCGCTATGACTGCCAATAAAAATGTCGCCATCGGCTCGGCTTGTCGTGTCACTTTCAAGTCTGCTAATTTAATCACTGACAGGAAAATACAATTACAGGGTGGAAATCAGAGGTGACCGATGGGTGATTGTGTCAGCGATCATGCTGCTCACGGCTAATAAGCAGGCAATGGTGGTCTGGTGACTTGAGCATCAATGACTGCACGACAAAGACGCATACCTTTTTTAAGGACACTGATAGTCCTATTAATCTGGATTTGTTTCATTAGGAAGTAAGTTTTTATCAGTGACTTGTTGCTGTAGCAGTTATGTCGCTAAATGATGTAGTTTTACCTTCAATTCATCATCCTTCATGATTTAATGGTAATGGACAAGTTATGTAACAATCCCGTGATGGGGCTCGACTTACATCAAGTACGCTGATGCAGGTAGTGGGGACCAGTGGCAAGCCATACGCTGACATTTAGACTGTGATGAGTGAGCAAGGGTTGGTTTAGTGTTGCTTTGAACTGTATTCCAGCTATCATGGCGTGTCAGCTTGTTGTGGGAGGAAAAACGAGAGTGATCATAAATCTCCGGTCATGAAGACCACCACATTAGTGAACAGGAAATGGAGAGTGCAAATCTAGCAACCATTCTCAAAAACTGCATGCATCATATTTCCATTTTATTTTGAAAAAAAATATTTAATATCCCTGGAGCCATTTATCACCATTATACCTAAGCCTGTTTCTAGTTTGATCAGAAATATGACACTCAATATAGCCATCCAATCAAATTACTCTCATGAGCAAGACAAAATCTCTGCAAGGTTTCTCATTAGACAGATGAGTTAAGACAATGACATTACTTCCTATACTAACTGGGCACAATGTGTTAAGCCCATTTCTGGTGTCCCCCGCCGTGATATTGCTGGAATATTGCTAAAAGCGGCGTAAAACTAAACTCAGTCAGTCAGTCCTATATTAACATGATGAACCACTGGTACTAAACCAATTCAGAGTAAACATGTTTACAGAATCGGATAATCAAGGATGCCCAGAAACACAAACATAGTAAATTTGGGATTCAAACCCACGATCACAGGTTTCAGGCATGCTGGAAAGTTGCAACTACACACAGTAAATTACAACACCAAACAATCATTGTACAAACACATCTCGATGCACTTTATTCGGTAAGCCGACAAGTGATCACTGCACTGGAGTTGGTGCTTTGTGTTACCATAGCTACAGGACAAATTTATTGTCATTTACCAAATATTCTGCTGACTCATCACTTAGCAAAATATCTGAGGTACAAACAACTTGATGCGGGTTAAAACATGTAAACATAGTTTACTGTTCACATATATGAAAATACAAAATTCAACTTTTATGACAGTATGCACTATGGTCATTGATGTTCCTTACTTTGGTATACCGTATATTACCGTAGATAAGCCGAATATTGAAGAAAACGACATCATATCGCTTTGTGTGAACAAACAAACAAGGAAAGACGACTTTGTCAGTAAAGACGTCAAATTTGCAATTAAACATCACCAGACAGTATTATTTACCTTTTAAGTTCTAATTTGTTTTTGTACACTTCATTTCGAGGCGTGAGTAGACACAATATGATTGTGAATTCTTTGAATAATGCGGACCAAAGTTATAATTATTGGTTCTGCCAGTTGTCTGTGGTCTGAGTTTGCCGCAATTAGGACCCAATCGCGGGGGTTCGGCTTATGTACGAAACATACCTATTTGACACTGATTTTAAGGGTCAAGTTA